CCTCCCCCTCCCCCTCCTTCCGCGCTCCTTTCTTTCTTTCTTTCTCTTGTCTCCTCTCACCGCCATTTCCCCGCGCGCCCTCGCCGCGCCAGCCCCGTCTTTGCTCGTGCTCCTCCTAAAAGTTAATTACAAATCACTGTAATGAAGCAAGGATTTTAATGAGTGCCAATCGGAAGGGCGCTGGGCCCGACTACGCAGGAGTTTTCTCCCAAATCGGAAAGAAAAACGGATAGGACAAAGGAAACGGATCATGGAAGGACCAGGTGGCTGACTCACGCCGCGCACTTTCGTAGTTATACTGTACCGCTAAAGCTAAAAAAAAAGTAACGCTGGTATAACTACGAAAGTGCGCGGCGTGAATCAGCCACCTGGTATGAGGAAGTTGCCCGATAAGAGGAACAAAAAGAAGGTAGCGCTAAGGAGGTGGCGTGGCGTAGCGCCATCCCTAAACAAAGCAGAACGCCGGTGACCATACTGTGTTATGTCGCAAGTGAATGTGTGATAGTGAATCGAGTTTTGTAGAATTTGTAAAGGAAAATTGGGTCCATGCCACACCGGCGTAACCATCTTGTGTCAAAAAGTGCTTCTGCAAAGTTTGGCTTCGGAAAAGTAAGTTTATACAATCCTCTAAACCGTCCCGGTGTCGTTGTTAAGGTTAGTGTCCGGACATATTGCATTGGTACTATTTTAACTGAGTGATAATGACTCAACTGTCGTTTTAAACTTTGGTATAGGTGGTACCAAGGTGCTAGATGCATAGACCCGTTCTCAACTGTTTGAAATCTAACGGCACGCATCCTAACCTCTGCTAGACTGTCGCTCGCCCGCTGGCAACTTCCTCATAACTGTGTAGTTTCGGGGATTTATTTTTATCACCTTTACTCGCTTTTTACTTTGGACTTTGAGCATGGGTTGTCGCTGCCATATGCCATCTTCTCTTCCTCAGAGCATGAGAGACGCTTTCATCCGAAATGTAATATGAATCAGTCGAAGTTGAGTGTGCGAGCGAGTGCGTTGTGTATGTTTAGACAAGTGTTGTGGCTGCGGGATTGAGTGTGTATGTGGGCGGTATCATAGACATGTGTATATTGCATGACCCGCCTCGTGTCCGCGTGGAGCACAGCATAGAGGGGTTGCGTTTCTCCGCCACGCGAGCAGCCCCCGTGCGGGGGGTCCCACCCCTTCGGCCCGGACGATGGGAAGAGGACGCCGAGCCGCGGCACGCGTAGGCTCCGCCCACGCCTGGCCCACCACCACCCCGCGGCCCAAACTC